GCCGTTATTTCGCGCCCTGCATGTGCGCAGATAGCAAGAGCTCTGCTTACCTACGTGGGACTTGGCTGAAAACAAAGAAGTACAAGACCGTAATATTGGCGTACCTCCGGTACATACACTAAGTACGTGAATTATCGCACCCTGGTAGGTCACAATATCATTCATGGTGACTTATTGTGTTAAAACATTCTGAACACCTTTATTGCAGTGAAAGTATCACAACAAACGAAACACTAGATGAATGTTCTATTACTGCTTTTGGGTATGAAATTCTTTCATTTTGTGAAGAAAGTGTAGTCTATAGGCCCATTGCACATGACGTCACAGCGCCGGCGACGATGCATCTGGAGGACAAGTTAGCAATCTATGCATAATATAACTTTTGTAAACAAAGCAAATTTTGTAAAACTTTATAATAATTTTGTATTAAAATGGTTAGTTTTTGTGCTGTATGTGGTTGTTGTACCCGAACAGATATTGTTAGGGAGCATCTGGAGGACACTCTAAGGATTTGTGACGTCAGTGCAAAGGGTCTATATTGTTCACTGTAAAAACACTCTGGAAAGTGTAGTCTAAATTGTAGTATAACATTATTTACTTTCAGGTTTCCACCATCAGCAAGTTCTTTTCTTCTGCAACAGTTCTCGCAGTATGGAAGTATTTTAAAACACGAAGTATGTTATTATGTAAAGTTTAAACATTTTTTGGAAGGAAGTTCTATTTGGTATAGCCTTTCTGTGTTTTATTATCGTTTTATCAAGGTTGCCTCAAGTGGAAATTGGATGCACATAAAATACCAATCAAAACTTCAAGCCAAAAAGGTAGCTGCAAAATTCCATTTTCTCAACACACAGTATTCATCACCACTATTGTTGCTGTCAGCAGCATCATTACCACTATAATAATGATTAATTATCACCACAACCATCATCACCATAATCACCATCATATCACCACAACCTTTATCACTGTAACCATCATCACCATAACCATATCATCACCATAACCACCATAACCATATCATCACCATATCATCACCATAACCATATCACCATGACCATATTATCACCATAACCATATCATCACCATAACCATATCATCACCATAACCATATCATCACCATAACCATATCATCACCATAACCATATCATCACCATAACCATATCACCATAACTATATCATCACCATATCATAATAACCATATCATCACCCTAACCATATCATCACCATAACCATATCATCACCATAACCATATCATTACCATAACCATATCATCACCATATCATAATAACCATATCATCACCATAACCATATCATCACCATAACCATATCATCACCATATCATCACTATAACCATATCATCACCATAACCATATCATCACCATAACCATATCACATCCTTCATCACCATAACCATCATCACCATAACCATATCATCATCATGACCATATCATCACAACCTTCATCACCATAACCATATCATCACCATATCATTACCATAACCATATCATCACCATAACCATGTCATCACCATAACCATATCATCACAACCTTCATCACTGTAACCATCATCACTGTACTGTCAACATCATTTGTGCACCATCAATATCATATTAAGTAACATGATCACCATTTATGACAAAGAAAGTCGTCACCACCACCATCATTACAGTAACATATGTACTAAAATTTCTTTGTTGATGGTTTTGATTAATTTGGTTTTTAATTGTCAAAGGCATTGAGCAAAAATGGGAAAATATTTGGCAACAATATGATGGTCGGTGTTAAACAATGCATTGATAAGGTAGTGGCAATAATAAGAACTGATGCTTCGTATTGATAGGGGTGCAAGTACTTGAAAAATACAAGGAAAACGTCGACGCTTTGAGCGAAGGCCCTTTCTCCTTGTATTTTTTAGGGAATTGCATATCCCTATCAATCCGAAGCTTTCTTTTCCCACTTTTAAGTTTTTCCCTTTATTGTATTCTTAAAATCTTGTGGATTTGTCATTTCTTTCCTGCTGTATAGAGTTTTATGTTTGAAACTGGCAAAGAGAACCTTCCAACCTCAGCCACAACCTCGCTGTCTGTATCAAGTGATGTCGCTGTTCCTTCGCCATCCAGAAAAACGCCCATACGGCCTTTAACTGCGGCCTATCAAGCAGCCAGTAGTGACATTGAGGTACACACTATGATAGAGTAGGGTTTTGTAGACAGAAATTGCGAGTGTGAATTTTATACATTCATCAGACTCACCCAATAAGAGGTTGCCCTCATTGGACCTATTGGTAGAAAAGTTTAGAACTGGTAGAGCTGCTCATACGTGCAAGTAAACATAATTACGAAGCTAATTTTGTACGAGTTCCACTTCAGCACAAGCTCATATACTAATCTATATTTTCAGGTTTCTGGGAGTACGTCAAACACCCCACAAAAGAATAACAACTTGGTTTCCAAAGCTATGGAGTACGTTTTTGGATGGTAATTACACGAAATAGCCCTTCTGCATTCAAATTATCGACTCTCTATGAAAAACCAATCTAGTATAATTGTAAAAAGCAATACTCGGAAAATCAAAATAACTGTACAGTTGCACAGCATGATACCATAAATAATATCTCTGTTCAGTGGCCTAATGGTCTATTTGTCATAACTTTATTATAGTAAAATAATACTGTATAGTTAAAGCTGGTTTGCATTTTAAAAGTTTCTGTGATCACAGTGATCGGAATTTTGCGTAGGTGTATTCTATGTTTTGAAGGATTTGTAAGAAGAGGGGACTCATGACTAAATTCTCTCAAACATTTCTTACAAATCCTTCAAAACTTAGAATTTGCCTGTGCTGAAAATTCCTACTTGGAATTTGCCTATACAAAATTTCTAATTCCTATTACAGAAAGTTTGATAGTGCAAACCAGTCTTTACCAAAATGAATCTTATATGTGGTATAGCTATATGTAAATTTCAACCAAAAACGGAACTTGCGGATTAGGTACAGCACAAAAAAGAAACAATATATAAGTTGCCGACATGTTTAAAATAGACACATGTATAGCCAGAGGATTAAACGGATGAGTGGACAAAAGATATATTGCCGCCTGGTTTCCTAATTGTCCAATAATGGTTCCTTATTGCAATACCTTATTTACATAATAATAAACATTTTGTGATAGAAATTCTTGAGAGTCCATGCTATAATATGTCTGAAAAGTGTTTGATCAACCGATGAATATATTTTGTAAAGTACGAAGGCTAGTATATATACGAATGTGATTACAGGCTTTAAACTACACCGGATAGCTTTTCGTAGCGACGTGGATAAACAACTATCCGTACCTTGTAGGAATGCTATTTTCACAGGAATTATTGCAACGGAGAGATGTTTTTTCGCTCAGCTTCTGAAAGTTATACATTCTGTGCCGGATAAGTGCTTTTTCGCGCCGCTACGGAATGCTATCGGATACAATGTAGCCACAGTTTTTTCTTCTTTCAAAAAGTCTCGTTCTCGGGCGTGCACGTGCAAACGCTATAAGTTTCCATTGCGTGAAGACCATTTTCAAAATTTTGCGTTTTCGGCTTGCTTGGTCCGTTGGTCGGCATTTGACATGTGGACGAAATTTTGAAACGAATCGGTACGATACCGACCCAGTCGCATTAATTAGCCCCATCCACACAGAAACTATATGATAGAGACGGACTGATGACGTCTTTATTACGTCACTGGAGTATTTTCTTTCACGTGCGAGAAATGGGAGAAAAGACGCGTTCTGGGTTCGATTCTATCATGACACTGTACGTGCCAGATAGCTTCCCGTAGCGACGTGAAAAACTGACCTATCCGTACCTTTTAGGGGCCGATTACATGGAGCATTTTCAACCCCAGGGTTGAACTCAGCCCTGTTTACCGGGTTGAAATTTCAGCCCTGTCTGTAATACAAAACTCTATCAAAATCAAACGCGCGATTACATGACAAAATTTTCAACCCCGGGGCTGAACTCAGCCCTGGGTTGAAAATTTTGTTATGTAATCGTTTCAACGCAGGGCTGAAATTATCATGAGTTATTCGAGCATACGTGGTAGTGATTATTAATTATTACATGAAAACAAAATAAAGGCTTTTTTACTTCGGCGAATCGATACAGAGAACGTATAGTATAGCGTTTCAACCCTGGGGTTGAAATCGTCCATGTAATCGCAAAAAATTTCAACCCGGTTAACAGGGCTGAGTTCAACCCCAGGGTTGAAAGTTCTCCATGTAATCGGCCCCTTAGGAACGCTATTTTCAGAGGAATTATTGCAACGGAGAGATGTTGTTTCACTCAGCTTCTGAAAGTTGTACATTCTGTATCGAATAGATGCTTTTTCGCGCCGCTACCGGAAAAGCTGTCCGGTATAGTGGATACTCGCATGTTAGACGAATCGCCGAATGCCTCCAGTGTCACTCTTAGACATCACGTGGTGCTCCCGTTTCCTCTTGTACTAACACAGAAGCAATATGGAATATATGGGTCTTACCGGATTTTAGAGAGAACAGTTTAGAACTGATATAACTATCAAGTATAAACACAACCAATCTAGTTCTTGTTCCCTACTTTAGTAACACTTTGCCACAGTAAGTAAGAGATGGCCCTTGCTGGACTCAGAGCCGCAGAGAGAATTCGCGGGCCCGGGGCAAATCTTCCCTGGGGGCCCCATGTCATCGTTATTTAGACTGCATGTGGAGGTAGTGTAAGGGGTAAAGATGCTCTGACCAATATAAAGAACCTACTCAATTTTAGGCTTTCGCTCTCAAGTTTGGCCCTATTTAGGTGGGGGTCCGGGGCAATCCCCTCCCCCCTCCTGCCCCCCTCTTGGCGGCCCTAGCTAGATCTCTAGGAAGAACATGGTCATACAGCCGTTAAATTAAAACGTCCCTTTTGTTGCATGTTTGCGACTGGATTTGAAGTTCTGTTGCCATGGAATTCGTTTCATATTAAAATCGTTCCCTCAAAATATATCAAGTTTACAGCTCACCGTTTGTAATGCAAATCAGTATTTATTTGCAACATTTCGACATCTGACACCAGCTTGAGACCTATCCCAAGATGCAATGCTGTCGCGGTGCTTATGACTTGATTGACAGCTGCGATATGTCTAAGGATAAGGCGGAAAGCGGAACTCTCAGAGAGAAAGAAAAGCTTACAACAAACATGCTTAAAATCGAAAATGTTGCCTTCTTTTCACCGATAACGTGAAGCTTTCGCATCGGTAAGTCTCGGTACGGCTTGTCTGTGAGTGTCGTTGAGAAATTGCCACGATTTATGGGCGAATTTCAAGGCTATACGTTCGGTTTCCTAGACAATGTAAGGGCTGAGTAATCATTATGGGGAGGGTTCTATTAGCAATATATACTCAAAGTCTGTCGTCTGAATTTGGTGGGTTTTCGCATGGTAAATGCTGATTTTATAATTTTTATGGATGGGATAAAGGCTATATTATGCATTAGTGGAAGAATTTTCCTGATCCGAGCATTTTGGCTTAAAATAAAAATATTTAAATGAATATTGTCTATATATACATTACGGCTATATAGGCATATAGTCGCAGCTTGTAGTGACGTCAGGGCAGTAGAGACTTTTATCTAAAGCGAGCCAATCAGCGTCGAGTTGTGGCCAAGCTCGTGTTGCTTCGTGGGAAGCGGAGAGATCACTTGTGAACAACACTCTGTTCGAAAGAATACGTATATCATACATAGTGCTGTAAAATTGTTGAATTTTGCTGGTTTTGCTTAAAAATCTCCGGTTTTCTTTACGGATCGTGTTTCGAGAATGAACGACGGCTCTCTGAGAGGTATTATATTTGAAAATTGGTTAAAAACCGAGCCGTGTGCAGCGACGATAGTTGACCGTTCGCGACCCTTGAGTGTTGGCTTGTTTTGACTGTTTTCTTGTGTTTTCTGTGCAATCTTTAACTAAATTTGCTTTCCTTTTACATTCTAGTTGCCCCGAGGAGGTTCTCCGAGGATGGCATGAATAATATGGTAAGATATTTCACGATTTCGCGGCGAAAACCGAGCCTTGTTTACCACGCTCAAATTTGAATGACTTGTGTAACACACAAATTGCTGTTTTGTGCTAACGTCGTTTCGCTAACAAAATACACCATTTACTTCGTTTTTTAGAACGTACCCGAACCAAAAAAGCAACGGAGAAGTTTAGAAGAGTTCAACTCGTTTTGCAGCTATGTATTAGCTTACGAAGCTCGACTACAAGAGGTGTGTGGCTGATTCTCTTCGACTCATTGTTAATGTTGTGGTGTTTTCTGTGCGTTAAAATGTTGCTTAAGCGTACAGTTCTGCCTTTATTTTGACACTGTCTATTTTATTATTCCTTCGTGTATGTTGGTAAAGCGATCGAGCTAAAAATATGAACAAGAACCCACATTTTTCTTGCAAGCATTTCGGCCATGCGAATTTTTACTCGTATGTGTTGTCGTGTGTTCTGTGGCGTTAAACCTCTACAAAACCTTATCATTTTGTCGTTATTTTTAAATGATCTTTCCCCCTACGTCTTGTTGTTTGTTGTTTAAGCGGTGGAGTTAAAAATCCGAAACGGAACCCGTACTTTTTTTGCAAAATTTTTCGAACATTCTTGCATGCGAACTTGCAAGATGGCGCTGTTGTCTTTATATAAATTCTTTGTGTTGCTTTACCGTAGGAACGGCGACGAAGGCAAAGTCCAAAATCGTCAGGAGAGGAAAGCACAAGTTCTAGTACAGATTCGGCTTACAGCGAAAGCATTTCGTCGCCAGATAGTTCAGACGAACGACTTTTGGACAACGTTGATGAAGAATACGACTCAGGTTTGTCATACAAGTACAAATTGAAATCGTCGTTCGGACGTCGTACCATTTCCCCAACGCTTAAAATTTTGATTTTATGCTCTGAGATGGAGCTATTTTTTATACCTGTTAGAATGCTTGTATTTCCAAGTCGTTCTCAGCCTAACTTCAGTTAAATTTGTGTTCTTTCATTTCTGCCATAAATTGATAAATGTACGTATTTGACAAAATTTTGAGACGTTATTCGCGCGTCATGTCTGCTCCCCAATGTTTAAAATTTTGATTTTATGCCCTAGAGTTAAGCTAATACATTGTCTAAGTAAGCCTTCTTCTACTCCTGTGAGTTTTCGAGCTTTATTTGTGTTGATTTTGTTTTTTTTCGACCACTTTAGGTGACGAATCGTGGAATAAAGTAACGTGTTTTTGCGAGAAGCCTTTCGCAGGTATGCCGTGATATTTTCGTGCTTTCTACTCGAAAGTTTTCCTATATTAATACATACCATTTGCTTTAAAAGGCCCGTCTTGATAAACAACAACAATTTAAGCCCTTATCCTAGATTTTTCGAGCAAAATTGTCACACAAACCGTTTGCAAAATTACGATGTATTTTGCGGACAAGTTCGAGTCCGTGTTTTTTGCTGGTGCCCTTGCAATGAAATTTCAACTTATTTTGATTTTTGACAGCCGTTTTGATCTGCCCGTATAAACAGTTTTGAAACCGTATTTATTTTGCTATATAACGTAGATTTTACTACAACTTTAAGCCCGCTCCAAAGTTCGTTTCATTTGAACGATTTACTAACAAATTGAGCGGTGTTTAACATGAACTTTTTGTGATCCCATTGTGTTGCAACTAGTTTGTTTATAAACGAAAAAAATTGTCACTGTTTCTTTTTAAAAATAGCTGCATACGGTTGTTATAAAGCGAGCACAGTTCGCTGTCTTACATATTTCCCCCATTTTTTAACCCGGAAAAGCGTTAAAAATCATTTCAACCACAGAAATATGCGAGTCAAGTGTAATACCGGTTTTGCACGAAACGTTGTCATTCTAATAATGATGGCTGAATTATGTTAAATTTAGTGGAATTAGGGGGCTTTAACTCTCTTAAAACTACTTCAAATAACGTTTTCAGTGTTGATGTTGTAGTGTTATTTCATAGTTTGTTATTATTAAGACGCCTTGTGTCATGTTTTGTGGGATTTTAAATTGTCAATAAATAATCAATCCCAAAACAGTTGGCCCAGGAATGTTTTGGTGTCAGTCGCTTCTTGCTTACATACACGAAATTGTATGGACTATATGTTTTGTTTATTTCTTGTTTTTTATATGATATGTTTACGATATGTCTTGGCAACAAAAAACAACGATTTCTATCCTCCCCCCAGGGATTTTGTCCTTACTGTAAAATATGTTGAGTGTATTTTTTTGCCTTCCCCTTTGGAGACTTTTGTCGTACCAGCATATCCACAGTTGGTCACGAGAAGACTTTTTCCAGTTTGAGTCTAGCTAGCCAAATGCTGTCCATGTTCTCTCCTGGTACAAGGGTTTCCTGCTGTAGTAACACTATACCGGCACCAATAAACAGTGACATTTAACCTAACCTCTGTCGAAAACAATTTAGATCTGATAGAGATATCCAGTATAAGTAATGTCCAACACAAGATATATTGAGATTGATAAATACATTAAATAATCGAGTGCGAGCATTCGCCCCTTCATGAGTAAAATTGTCTGCTATTAAGAGTAAAATAGTAAAGGACACATCAAGGTGCATATTTTCATCATAAAGGGTTAACAGGATAAATGGGCAGATTAAACCATTGAGCAGCAGTACTCTCTCCTTGACTTGTAAAATCATCTGGCATTAGACAGAGTAAAATAATAAAGTAGGGCACATCAAGATGTATTTGCCACTAAGGGTTAAGGTTGATTTACACTACACAACGTTTGACTAAAACAGTCGCATGTAATCTGCTTACAACTTGAGTTGTACTGTGTAAATCAAGCACACAACTCACCTACAACCTTGTACAACTAAGCACTTTTTAACATTGTGATTATTTACTTCCTCAGGTCGGCCGATGATCGAGTGTTCGGAGTGTTTAATTTGGATCCATCTTTCGTGTGCAAAAATCCGAAAATCAAACGTCCCTGAAGTTTTTGTGTGTCAGAAGTGCCGCGATGCAAGACACACGATGAGGAGGTCGCAACGAGTAAAGACCACGCCTAGTCCAAAGCGTACGTGATAGGAGTTGTTGCCATAGCAACAGCCTCCTGTGTACAAATGTGTAAATACATATACTCCGCTTTAACGTAAAGCATTCACTAACGCAGAGCAAGGACAGTGTTGTATGTGCTCTATAATTTATGCAAAGGTGTTGGGTGTTTTATAATTGATTTGTCCCAAGTTATTTTTGGGTGCTCTTAAAGTTAGACAACACTAACATGACAGCGTGAAGGACTGTTCGATACAAAAGATTTTCATGTTTGAAATGTGTGTTTTACAGCATTAAACTTGAAGTTAATCTCTGCTTGCAAATAATTGGTGTGTGTAATTGCGTGTAGAGTTCACTAATAGAGTCAGACCAAAGTCAATCAAAATATAATCCAAAAACTTGGCCAAAATCTTATGCAAATTTGTTAAGACAATGAATGTTTGACATGTTGAGGCTATCGTCCATTACACATCGCGATCGGTGACATACTTTTTGGAAGCGTGCATTCAGTATTGCGTCATCTTGTCCGATTCCTGTACTGTACTGTTGAGAGCTGGTTTATACTAAGTTTCTATGACCACAGTAGGAATTTTGCAAAGGTAAATTTAAAGTTTTGAAGGATTTGTGAGAAATCTTTGAGGGTATTGACTCAGTGTTAAACACCAAGTTAGCACCCTCAAACATTTCTTACAAATCCTTCAAAACTTATCTTTGCAAAATTCCTATTGTGGTCACAGAAACTTAGTATAAACCAGTAAACTAAATTTCAAAAGATTTTTGCATGGTGAAGTAACCTCTATATAAAATTGTAGCTCATCGATGCTTTTAAGATTTGCCAAATTTTTAGGTTATGTCTTGATTGACTTTGGTCAGATTGAAAGTTCATGTTTTGTAAAGACTACATCTTGTATGAATTAGTGTATTTATATTAGTAGAGTAATACAGCAGCTCGAAAAGATTTGAGTTCCATACTGTATATGTGTAAAGGTCCATTTACATTACATAACTTACACCTAAAACTGTCACATGCAACCTGCTTACAACTTCAGTTATACTGTGTAAATCAAGCACACAACTCCCCTACGTTGTCATTGGAAATAGGGTGTTAAAAGTCAAATCTTAGTGTAGCTGCTATATTACTCCTAAATATTGTAGTTGTGCAGTGTTGACGTTGAGGGGTGAGCCGTGTTTCTGGTTCACAGATAATAATACATATTCCAGAAAACCTTGTGTGTTGTATGTGTGGGGGGTGGGGGGGCTCATTTATTTTGAGCACTTTTAAAGGAGGACTTGTTGGAAGAGGGGGAGGGTTAGTGAATTTCTTCCTGCAGGAAGGATGGGGGTTACCCTGGAACCAGAGGGTATTTATTTTTGCCTGTTTTGAAAAACTCTGGGCCAGGGTAGATGGGGGTTGGCTAATACAGAATTAAGTGGTTTGCACTATCAATGTTTCTGTGATCACAGTAATCTTAGTGTTAAACAGTGATTGGGTTTTAATAAATTCTATTTTAATCGGAATACTATTTGATAAGTTGACCCAATTGAGTGACAACACTCTCCCCTTGACGAGCAGAGTCATCTGCCACTAAAGCCGTGTTTACACTACGAGCCTAAGCCTGGCCTAGGCCTAACTTTGAACTAGATTTTTGCAGTGTAAACGTACTTCGGGTTGGCCTAGGCCAGGAAATCTAGGCCACCTGTTCTGATGGGCCCAGATTTCCTGGCCTAGACCAGACCGAAGTGCGTTTACACAGAGTAAAATAGGGCAGTAGAGCAAATCAGTCATCAGGGCGCATTGCCACTAAAAGGGTTAATATTGGATTTAATAACTAAACTGGTGCCCAGGCTCCAGTCTAGCCCGCGCCACATTCATTCCAACCCGCAATGCGCACTGGTATACCAATGGTGGATGAAAACGAAGCTTTTCAAACGTAAAAAGTTCGTCTTTTAGTCACAAAATGCCGCCCGTTACGGCAACTACGGAAGAGAAAAGAGATGCAGCGGAGGTAGCGCCATCAAAACCAACTATTGGTATTATTTATCCTCCTCCAGAAGTCAGGAGTATCCTTGAAATTTATGTTTTATGAACACAGTATTTAGACTTTTAGTATAATTTAAATTTTAGGTAGACTTTCTAAAATTATAGAGAGAAATTTGTAAAGTGCTGTAAGTACATATGAATGGTTGTAGTGGTTGTAGCTTTCACACAGATCTAGTTTATATTTATGTTATGACTGAACTTGTAGACACTCTCTAGCATACCTGCCGGCCCATACCAGAATACATTGGTGATCGCCAATCAGTGCACCACATGGTGAGACCAGACTGGAATTAAGTAGGGCACTTTAGCAAAAGTAGACGACTTGACAAAACCAGCAATGCGGTAGGATATTGCGGTAGAAATGTAAAGCTTGCGATGGCCAGTAATTAGTAAAAACTATAAACACGTAATGCACCATTCAATGTTATATAGGGAGGGCGGGCAAACCTAGGGGCATTTGACATTTTCAATTTTTTTTGTGTCAATAGTCCCCACTATGAAACAGCACTTTGGTCAATCGTAGTCAAATCCCCCCCACACCTGAGTTAGAGGAAAACTACAACTGCAGTCGTTCCTGGTCAGGTCTTAAATTAAAGTGTATATATACTCACTTCTCACACACCGCTGGGAGCTGCTGCAGCGTCAGCCGCAAGCTTGACATTTATTAAACTATCATACATTACAATTGCTCGCTACATAATTACTATAACAAGTACATATAACCCATTGCAAAACTGTTCTGTTCCCCTACTCTCTACTAATAAACATAAAAGTGCTGGGTGGGTGGGATACTGTTAAGCTACGTTGAGCAACAACTAGTGATGGGCGATACTATCGAAAAAGTATCGAAATCATCGATACTTACAAAAGTATCGATACTTTTGATACTCGAAAAAAGTATCGATAATTCGATACCACTTGAGCCTGCGATGTTTTTGGTCAGTATTACTGAAAAATTGCTTAATTCTTCATGAAGGCAACAGACTGAAGGCAATAAATGTTGCCATGATGCTGTTCTTTAACAAAAACATGTAGCCAATTAGCAATACATTGAAGAAAAACATTGAACACATTGATATTGTGTAGATTTAAAATCATAATTGCAAATGTTATGTTCGATTATTTGGTAGGTACTCCAGTTAGAGTATTCTTTGACTTGTTAACATTAATGTTCTTGTTTTAAAAGTTATTATAATAAATGGAAAAAATTGAGTATTGGTATCGATTTTGGTATCGACCAAAATTCATGGTATCGGATTGGTATCGTATCGAACCCAAAAAAGCTGGTATCGCCCATCATTAGCAACAACAAAAGTATGCTCAACTAACCTGCACCACCCTGTAACACCCTGATTTCATCAGGCCACCAGCAGTGTGTAAGAAAACATTTTCCGCTTCTTTCGTGCCTCAGCCAGCGGAAAATAACACTTGGACGTGCGACCCTATTTTCTCCGGGTGGTTGCGGGCTGCTGCCAAAATGGCGTCTGTTGTCACACTAATTATTGAAAAAACCATGAAAAAATATTCAAAAAAAAATTATTTCCCACCTACCGACCCTAATTTTTTTGCGAGATGAAACCGGAACCACAGGTATTTTTTTTACGCCTAGCATATCTTCAAACGTGGATGGATACTCCTATTTTCCTATGAAACTTGTCTAGTTTCTGTAGAAGATTTCAATCACAGAATTGGTTGACTCCATATATACCTTGTGTATCTCGACTGAATTGGCAAAAGGAATGTAAATAATGTAATTGGAATGTAATGGCCAGCAATTTAACCTTGACTGCAACATTCAGATATTGTTGACAAAACTGCAAGCTTTGTTGCGAGAAATGGTAAAAACTTATTTTGAGATATAATATAACATAGAATATAACAACGATAACTAAATAATGATTTTACTTGTCAAGGGGAGAGTGTTGGTGCTTAATTGGTTAATTTCATGTATTTTTAATTATTCTTCAGGACCCGAGTTTCAGACGCGAATCAGACAAAATGAACAGAACAATCCGAAGTTCAATTTCTTAAACACTGGCGATCCCTACCATGCTTATTATCAGCACAAAGTTAAAGAATTTAAAGAAAATGAGGGCAAGAGTAAGTTATTGAATTCAATGATTCAAGGATTATTTTCAACCTGAGTGTGAAAATGGTGAATTGTTTTTAGTATAAATAGCATTTTTTACCCTTGTCCTGACAGAAACCACAGTATAATATTGTTTGACTCTTTTGTTACCAATTTTAGTTCAAGAACCATCTATTCAGCCACTTATGTCAATACAAACAAACAAGGTATCTTCAAGTTTAGAATATCAAATTTATAATTTACTTTCAATATTCATTTGCTATTCTCTAAACTGCAGTCAGTGGTGCACACTTCCCCCAATGCCACACCCCTAATGCCACACCCCCAACACC